AAAACTTGTGTCACCAAATGAAAAGCATCTTCTGTTTCCTAAAGGAAAACTCGTAATACCTCAGACTGTCCTCGTTGATTGCAATGGTCAACAGGTCCACGATATCCTGGATCAGCTTCGGTGAGACGCTCTCACACTCATCATACGAAACTATCTTATCTATTATGTCCTTCAGGACCTTGTTGTTGCTGGATGTGCTTCCTCCTGGTCTACGTAGCCCCTGGTCCTTGTCCTGGTTCTGATTCTGATGATTGGACCATCCACGACCACGACCGAACGAAGTCATTCTCGACTTAACAACTAAGCCTGTTTGACACAAAAGACATGCCAATATATTTCCAGTGACTGAAAAGTAACGTGATTTAACAACTTTATTGAGAAATACAGACGTGCAAGATAATCCGATTCGACCACTTGTTTCTCTCGATTTTGAAGTTGTATACAATGCGATCGGCAAACCATACGGGTCCGTTTCTTGGTGTTGCACCATTTGCGCTTTCTGCACTTGCGATGAGTGCAGTGGTCTGTTCGTTTTTTTCTTTTCATGCATCGTTTGTTTTTTCTCTTTTTTCTCTGGTATGAAAAGAAAAAAAGGAAAATGCAAATTTAGCCACCGACAAAATTATATATCTCATCAATGGTTTAGCTAAAAAGAACGCACCTTCTGTGTAACGGTTAGACGTTGTAAAGAAAAAAAGACAGTAAAATTTAAAGGGAAAATTATTTCCGCTCTCTTTGCGGCTGAATATTTTTTACCTTTTGCCTTTCCTTTCTTTCTATTTAATATCATATTTGCGGTAAGCATCGCGACGATAAAGTGTAGAAAGTGTAGACGGAACAAATGCGTCTTTCGCGAATTATCGATGCGCCGCCTGGCAATTGCCGCCAGCGACGTCGTGTTTAAATTTCTCCAATTTCATCTGTTACAGATAAATATGATACGTCACGCGATCCGGAACTGTTTAGATACTGATTAATTCCTGGACAATGAAGGAAGAGGAACAGCGAGAAGTTGACAAATTTGGTTAGCATTTAACTTCTCCAAACGTACCAATATTATAAATTGCACCGTACAGAGTATTTATGTTAGATTTCTTCATCCGTAGATTGCGAATCGATCGAAGCTCGTTACGCTTCGCAATTACGCTCGCTCGAGTGAATTCGCGTGCGACAGTTGAACTCTTGAAGACTCGAGACGGAATTACGGAATCGTTGCCTCTTTCTTCGACCAGCGTAGCTTATTATTGTGGTTCCGACAGTTCGACAGGTGCATAGAAGCGATAATTGTGCAATTTTATATTCCTAATTATAGTATGCAATATCTACACGATATCTATGCGATAACAAATTAAGATATGAAATGAATTAAACATTAGAAATCTGCCAGTCTATTATAATAATTATAAATATAATAATAATTGTGTAATTTTATTTGTTAAGGACTATTTTTAGTTCAGGTAACAATAAGTTAAGGTAAAATACTAGATAAATGAGAAGAAGTTAATGTAATGGCATTCCAATAAATATGTTACAATTAATAATTTTATTTGTTAAGGGTTATGTCTAATTTTAAACATAATGTTTGTTTGCTAAAATAGAATATACTAGCTAAATGAGAATTTGTTAATGTCTACGCTGAAAAAACTGATGTGACAATTAATTATTTAATTTTATTTTTAAAGATTATTGCTAATTTATATACAATATTTATTGTGATAAACTAAAACGAAATGCCAACTAAATAAACAGAGGATGTTAATGTCTACTCTAAGAAAATTGTAACAATTAATGATTATTTAAATTGCATTTATTACAGATTAGCTTTAATTTATCCAATTTCTGCGATAAGCAAAAAAAGAATATCAGTTAAATGAAAATATATTAATGTGTACTCTGAGAAAGTGTGATAATTAATAATTTAATTATTTAGTTTTATTTGTTAAAAATTATTTCTAATTAATATTTGTTTATGGTAAGCTAAAATAGAATACTACAGTTAAATGAAAAGATATTTTACTATTTATTCTGACAAAACTGTAACAATTAATATAATTATATATTTTTATATATTTTTGTTGAGAATTATTTCTAGTTTACACAATGCTTGCCTACAATAAGCTAAAACAGAAAGCCAAATAAATAAAAAGATATTAATGTCCGTGCCGATAAAGCTGTCATTAATAATTATTTAATTTTATTTCTTAAGGATTATTTCTAGTTTAGACAATGTTAGTTTACAGTAATTTATAACAAAATATTAGCTAAATGAGAAGATGCTAATGTCTATTCTGAGATAACAGCGACATTTAATAATTATTTAATTTTATTTGTTAAAGATTATTTCTAAACAATTGAAAGAATTGTGGAAAAATTAATTTGTATAATAATCTATACAGTATTTAGTTACAATAAGTTAAAACAGAGACCAGCTAAATGAGAAAGCTGTAACAATTAATATAATTATGTAATTTTATTTATAGATGTCTTCCATCAATTAATCTTGAAGACAGAAAGCTACCCTATTAGTGCTGAAATATTATACTTTAAAACAAGAAAAACATGCCTGATGAATTATAATAAAGCAAGGAAAGCTGTAGAATTTTAAAAAGGCTCCTTCCTCTGCTTTCTAAAGGTTAAACAGCAGATTACTGTGATTATTCGTAAAAACATAAAAGGAAAATTTGTATCTACTTGTGATAAGGTAAGGCACAGAATTAGAGATCAATATCAAGAAATTAATCGAGAGGATTGTTGAAATTTTGCATTAATAATTTATAGCTGCTAGAGATTGTTTCCTGGACGACTCGGGCTCGCGCATGCCCGCGAATGTTACCCCGGACAACCGCCAATCGTCAAACGGTACGGTAATCCACAGCAACAATCTGTCAGTCATCATCAGTACAGCCAGTCATCGTCATCGCGGCCATTGCGTGACCCGCTCGGATGATCAACATCCCGACAGACATCAACAACGACAGTCGGTTTAGCAGTCGCTCGTGGTTTGCATTGTGGTCAGGCCAATCCGCTGTTTCTCGACGGAGGACGAATCTCGCAGTGACAGTTAGTAGTCGCCAGTCGTCGGCCAGGTACACTACGCTCGTGCTGCGTCAATCGGTCTCGAAGTGTTTTTCCTCCCGTTCCTTTTTATTGCCAGAAGGTATCATATCACAACCAACGTAGCCGAGGGAGCCACGTTGGATCCCAAAAAAGGGATAGAATATAAGAGGGAAAGAAAGATAAGATAAAAGGACATCGCTGCTTGTCCGTCCAGGAAATATGACGACGGAGGAGAAGTTCAACGCCGCCGTGAACGTGATTAGGAGTCTGCCGAAAAACGGTACGATAATCTTATATCCACGTTATCGTTACATTGGCACGGCGAATCTTGGAGCGTCACGAAAGCGCGGATGCGTATCTCGAAAGTGAATTTTTCCTTCGCGTGCATACACTCTGAAACATTTTACTTCTTACACACTTGCATCCGCTGTTGCGTTCGCCTGAGAACGCGGCAGATATCACAATGTAATTGCTTTTTGCTTTCCACGCTTGTTGATTTCTTTCCCTTTCTCGCCTCTCTTCCTTCATACAACTTTACTGCGTGCTGGCTAAAGTCCACGTCGCCGTTGATATTTATCTTCCTCATGCGAGAACGGCTCATTTATTTGTTCACGGTTATGAGAAGCCGATAATACGTAATCAGTTTTTTCTGCGTATATTTAGAAGCGTCGAAAAAATCAACTGCAAGATTATTATGTATATATATATATATATATATTTTATATTTCCTGGATATTTTATATAAATTTCTTTAACGTGAAAACATTCGAGACAGTAAAAATCACACATGGGTCTTTAAACTTCTAGTCTTTTTCATTATCGCAGGTGATTTTATTATATGAAAAAAAAAACACGAAGATTTTACATGTGTCGTTACGCGCTATCATGCGGAGAAATTGGCAAGATCTATAATGATGTCCAAGGAAAGTGAATGTTCTCAAGTCAATTTCTTATTCGCGGTGTCGAGAGTGATATTAGGACAAAAAATTCCATTTCCCGAATGCTCGCGCACTGTACGGAAGAAGCTTCCATGTTTGTCGTATTGTCTGTTCTATTGGATACATTTTGATAGTCTCTGCGTTATAACGCAAATGATCTTCACACTTGATAATTATGCCAAAAAAAGAAACAAGCTTACTGATTTGCATTCTTCATTGCCTATTATTATTCAATTCTTTTGAAAAAAACGACAGTTTGCGAATTAAATAAGCGATGAATAAAAATCTTGTTTATAGGAATATGTGTGTGTAGCTATTTTTCCATAAAAGTTTTCTTATTAAGAGCTTGTTTTTTTAAATCAAGATACTTGTTATTTTCATTATTGTATTAATACTGATTTTATATCACATCTGTATATAATGTGCATATACATAATATACATAATGTATTTTTTTTACTATTTAGCCTTGATGTTGGATATTGTATGTTCAAGTATACTTTCCAGTCACTTCATATAGCTAAGTGACTGTATTACTCCCCACAATCCCCACTTTACTTTCTAACAGTGTAAGATACGCTTAGTGGTTAAAACTAGAATGTTCCTCTTCACTGATCATAAAAAAAATAATTTGTATTGCACCAGCAGTTATGAAATTTTGTTAATAAGAGCTTATTATTTAACGCTAATTATTTATTTCCAGGTCACTGGCAATATATAAAATACAAAGTTAAAACTTGTTATTGTACATAATCTCTTGATAATCAATCTCTGCATTCTTGTACTATGAACTTGCTTATTGACAAAAAATATAGGCATAATTGCAGTGCAACGGTGAAGTATAAAGTACATCATGCATAATACAAAAAATACGAACTTTATATAAATATATGCATTCGAATTTTAATGAAGATACCTTAATGAGACATTACTAACTAAGATAATAAGCTTTCACAATAATTGCTATGACAGTTATTTCCTATTAACATTAATTTCAAAGATAATGAATTTCATTAGAAAGACAATTAGAATATTTTCACTATGTCTAATATTTATTACTATCGAATAAAACTTATGTATTTTGAAGTAAATTTATATGTATATATATATATATATAT